ACAGCCTCCCAAGCCAGGGTGTGGGGACTGTGCAGAGGAGTCGCCGCTACCATCTGTATTTAAAAGCAATGTAGGGCACGCCTGTCTGAATTTTCTCACACATGCGCGCATACACACACACACACACACACGTGCACACACATAACATGCTAGGAAAGAGACAAAAGGAGCCTGGAGTGGTGCTGTCTCCAGGGAGAGGGACTGAGTGCCTGGGCCAGGACAGGACAGGAGACTCACTGGTCACCCTCTACCTACTGCACTGTTTCAATCTGCTCCACCTGTGCATTATGGTCTCAAAAAAAACCTTTTTACCTAGGAATATACAGGCAAAAATAAGGCCTCCCCTGGCACTGACTCCCCCAGAAGGCTTCCTGGACTCTCGACATCCCCCAGGGGAGAAGTCCACTTGGACCCAGGATGCCTGGGCTTCCGCTGCCTGCTGGACCTGACCACAGCGTGGCACTCGGGGCTGGGGACTGCACTAGTCATTTCTCAATCCCGGTGCCTGGAACTGTGCCTGGCTCATGGTAAGACCTCCACTAATGAGGTCAGAGCAGCTCCATAAACAAATTAATGCGTGCACATGTGCCACCTTCGGAGAAAGCCACAGCTGGGACCTGGCCAGTGGGGGACCCAGCACCAGCAAGCACATGGCGGGGGCTGACAGAGACCTGCACCGGGTCCAGGATGTCACCCACCTTGGCCAGGCCTGCCCGGTGGGCTCCCTGCGATTCTATGTAGGCCACATATTTGTTGAAGTCCTTAAATTCTTCCATGGTTGGGCGAAACGTCATGATTTTACAACTGGGGTTCTGGGCCCCGTGGTCCTCAGATCCCATGGCTGCAGATGCACGGGCGCCACACCTGTGGGGGGAAGACAGAGAGGTGAGCCAATCAGCACTGCCATCCTCCAGCCCCAGAGCCGCTAAAAATACCCATGACACCAGGAGGACAAAGAGCCTTTGCACTGAGCTTGGGTGACAAAGAAAACCGTGAAGTGGCTTCATTGCTCTGCACTGAGCAGAAAAGACCAAGATGACTTCAACTAATTAAAACCAGAGGCGTCCTAGTTTGAAAAGCCAAGGCGATCCTGGAAGCCAGTGCACTAATTTTAAACCAGGGGCCCACGCAAATCAAAGCTTCTCTTATCAGGAACACGTCCACGCTCGCTGGCATCAGCATTAAATCGATACTTCTATCCCTGAGCCGGATGTGCCAGAGGGACAGCAGCACCTGCTGGGTTCTGGGAGGTGAGTGAACATGACAGAGAGTCCTGTACACACACACGAGCAGGGGACCCACTGCTGTCAGTGGGAATCCTGAACCAGGAGAGCAGAAGTCCCGTCCAGAATGGCCCATTTCTAGGCATAAGCGATGCTGAGCATCACCGCGGGTTATAAACCAGACTGGACACGTCGGCACAGAAGGGGAACCATGGCTGAGCATGCTCACCACGCGACTCACTGCTGGTGCCTGAAAACATCGGGCATCAGGCTGTCCTCTTGGTGAGGGGGCTGGAGGCTAGAGCGGCTCCTTCCTGTCCCAGGCACTAAGGGGACCAGCGGGGGCAGGGGTTGTGTCTGGAAGCCCACCCCAACCAGGAAGAGGCTTCAGTCACAGACTCTGGGGAAGGGTCTTCCTTGGCAATAAAATTCTCCAGATGTGAGGAAGAAAGAACACAGAATCTACCTAGAATTGGGGAGAGATAAGAAGAACCCTAGAACTTATAAAAAGATTTAACAAAGCCCACCTCCCTACCCTACGACCCCAAAGTGACTCAGGGAATGAGAGAGAAAGGCAGGAATCCACCCAGTCCTGGAAGGGAGGGGGTTCCACGTCGCCAGCGAGCCACGGCCTCCCCAAACGCACTCCCGGAAGTGGGCACTAGAGGGCAGCATGCACCTAAGAATCGGAAGCAGGGGCAGATCCAGAAGCCCTAGCTGGGCTGGTACCTGCATCCAGGCAGAAGCAAAGCCCAGGGACATCCTTGACCAACTCATCACCTGCCCTCCATCCACCCACGTGTTCTCGACCATTCCATCCCCTGCCTGGAGTGCACGGGGCTGGGACTTGAGGTACAGTGGCCATGCAGCTAAGCCTCTGCTCTAATGGTCACACTCCTGGCTGGACTGGGGTTCTAGGGTTCTTCACAGGGGATAGAAATCCCCAGCTCAGAGCCCACATCCTGGGCGCACGCACACACACATGCACACACTCCTGCCTCGGGCCCTCTGCTCTGTGCATAGAGTCCTGACACCTCCCAGACAGCCATAGATGCAGTCTGCACAGGAGGCCATAACTGCACCGTGGACAACATGTGATGCTGGCTCCCTGGGCAAGACTGCAGGAGAGCATGAAAACGTGACAGTCACAGTGTTTGCAAAGGGAAAGGGGCTGCCACCAACACTCCCTCCAGTGCAGCAGGAACCAGAGGTCCCCGCCTGCAGCCTGCCTGCCTGCTCAAGAGGCTTCCCCCACCCAGCCCTGACCTGCCCTGGGCTCCCTGGGCCCCTCAGGCCACCACACTGTCCCAGTGGTCCCCTCCCCCACAGCCAGGACCCAGCACCTGAATCCCCACCTGTGACCCCCGCTAGCTCCACGAACACCCACAGGCCCCCTCCCACCTGCCCTCTGCCTTCCAACTCAGACAGGGCACATGGTGTTCACACAGGGACTCTGCGTGCCAGATGTCTGGGTACTGTGACAGACAGGACTTTGTGCCTGTCCTCGAGGAGCTCACAGTATGGTGGGAACCGAGCCCTGGGATAACCGCATGAGTATGACTGTCCCCATGAACTGGGCAGATAGCAACAGTGCAGCCTGCCCAGGCAGGGGGGGAGGAGGTAAGGGGGCAGATGGAGTAAAATCACCCCGGTCTCACTGCTGGTCCCCAGCCCTCAGTGGCTGGGCACAAGGCCTGGGGCCAGCTTCTCAGTCTGCAGTGCAGGGTGCCCCAATTTGGTGGTGGTAGCAGCAGCGGTGGCCACGGCAGCGCTCACCAGGCCCCTGCCTGCTCCACGCGTGTTACATGGCTGATGCATGGCTCTGCCCGGGTAGCACCTTTGCCCTGGTTAACTGAGGAGGGCATGGGGCCCTGAGGGGAGAGCGGTGCCTGAGCCACGCAGCAGTAGGCACTGGGGCCAGACGTGTGTCCAGGCTCTGTATGCCGCCACTGCCTGAGCCTCCCACCCAAGTGGGTGCCAGGCGCCAGGACCCATCACACCCCCCATCCTCACCCTCTGGCTGCCTCCCCTTCAGACAAGCTCTCTCCTACCCATCACGCCCATGTGACTACAGCAGAGGGTCACACTGGCTCCTAGGAGCTCCTCAAACTGGACCCTGCAGCAGCTGCTGCCTGCTGCTCCCCCCTCCCCTGCAGCCAGGCTCTGACCACCAGGATTTAAGGCCACCCACTCCCAACGCTCGGCCCCACTGGGGGATGATGCTGTGTGGTTCGAGTCCTGTCACCTGCTCGTCTCCTGCACAAGGCTTGCTTGTCCAGGTGGGGCAGGCCCAAGTCAGCAGCTGCTGGGCATCCCTGAGGCCAGCCAGCTGCACACCTTCATCCTGATGCTATGACTGCAAGGTCTGGATGGGTGAGACTCATTATAGACTCGTTCTCTATAAAGCATGGGGTGAGGACTCCACACGTGTCCCAGGGTTACTGGGGAACTGCGGACAGAGCCTGGCTGCACACCCTTAATATTGCCTGTGAACAAATGCCCCAATAGCTCTCACAGAGAGACTCTCACTATGGAGGGGGGCGTTCCATCAAGAGGGTGGACAGGCAGATCCTGGGACAGCAGGCGCAGCTTCTGCAGGGGCACTGTCCTTCAGCCACCACCGCCACCTAGAGGCAGCTTGGCGGGTGGGGGGGTGCATGGGGTTTTTTTTGGGGGGGGTCTTATTTGTGCCTTTTGAAATGACGTTTTTTAGTAGGGAAATTATAAAGAAGAAAATTTATTTATTTATTTATTTATTTATTTTTCCTTTTTGTCTTTTTTCGTGTCCGGCAACGGATCGCAACCCTCAGTGTTGCGCCCGTACCGGACCGGGACCAGCAACGGGACCGCAACCCTCGGTGTCGCGCCCGCACCTCGCTCAGCCAGTGAGCGGGAACCGGTCTGTATGTGGGATCTGAACCCTCGGCGGGAGCGCCACTGCGCTCCCAAGCGGCGCACTGTAGCAGTGCACCACCGGGCCGGCCCCCTAAAGAAGAAAACTTAAATGGTTCGTAATCTCTACACTCCATAACCCTTGACATGTTTCTTGAAGGAGAAGGAATAAAAATCTTACATGTACATACTTGAAAAATAAGGAATTAGACTGATGGAAATCCAGTCAAGGGACTGGCCTTCCAGTCTACCAGACACATGGTGGGGAAGAACTGAGGACCACAGTCGAGACCCTATGAGCGACTTGTGGAGCTGTGCAGAGAGTGACATGTTTCAAAACAGTGGCTCGCCAAAAAAATGGGGCTCTCCAAGTCACCAACAAAAAGACATACAGCCCCATTTAACAAATGGGCCAAGGGCTCAGATAAGACACATGAACGGCCAGTAAGCACAAGAAAAAGTGTTCAGCATTGCTGGACATCAAGGAGACACAGATCAGAACCACGACGAGATGCCACTTCACACCTGCGAGGATGCTAGAACCAGAAAGACAGACAACCACACTGCTGGTAAGGACTGGAGACATCAGGACCTTCCCACACTGCTGGTGGGGACATAACATGGGGCAGCTGCTTGGGAAGACAGTCAGGTAGTTCCTCAAAATGTCAAATATAGAATTACCATATGACCCAGCCATTCCACTCCTGGGTAAATGCCTGAGAGAAATGGACACACACGTCCACACAAACGCTTGCACACCCACATCCACAGCAGCACAATTCACAACAGCCAAAAGGTGGAACAACCCAGATTTCCATCAGCAGATGAATGAACACAGCGTGGTCCATCCACACACTGGAACATGACTCAGCCCTGAAAAGGAATGAGACTCTGACACATGCTACCATGTGGATAAACCTTGAAAACATGCTCAGTGACAGACGCCAGACACAAAAGGTCACATGTTGTACCCTAAAGCTTTGGGGTTTCTCTGTGGGGAGATATAAATGTTCTAAAATTGACTGGTAATAGCTGCACAATTCTGAATGTTCTAAAAACCATGAAAACGCTCACTTCAAGTGGGTGACCTGCAGGGTGTATGGATTATATCTCAATAAAGCTGTGACCAATGATGGGGGCGAGAGAGAGAGAAAGGAGGGAAGAAAGAAGAAAAAAATGAAGACCTCCTGCACTTGCAAAAAAAAAAGAGAAAAAAAGTGGGGCTCTCCTTAACTGAAAGCGACCAAGGAACCATCACAACCCATGCAATGAAAACAGCAGCTTCATCAAAGACATCTTGGGGACAAGTGTGAAAATGTGAAAGGAGCTGGGTGTTGCTGACACTATGAGATGATGCCTAGTTTCCATGGCAACATGGAAGATGTCCTTCTTAGGACACTGCTGAGTTACTTCGGGGGAAATGTCATGATGCTGTGATGCACTCTATGTGGCATTGGCAAAAACACACGGGCATGTACACTGAGCAAGGGCCACTGTGGCAAACGTGGACTCTGCTGGCCTTGGCCCCATGGGCACTTCTGCAGCAGGGCTGTGGCCAGGCACCCCTGTGGGGAGGACCCTGTCTCCCTGTCTCCTATTCGTGGGCTTGTGTGCAGGGCTTCACTCCCTGCATCCTGCCCTTATAGAAAATGCTACATGGTGGCACACACTCCAGAAAGAGGAAGGTGGTGGGTTTCTGGTGGGGAGAGGAGGGACACTGGAGCAGGGGTGGGAGGGGATTTTATTTCC